AGGAACACTTGCTACCTCTCTAGCCAAGCATTTCCTGGAGCTCTATGGTACTTGGTCATTTTTTCTTATAAAATGAGGTAAAAGGGGTGGGTCCGTTTTCTTGCTTTAAAGTTTTAATATCTTCAGTGAAAGAACTGAGACAGAGAGAGAGATTAGTTTTTTAGACAAAGTCTTTTGTCTTGCCCCAGTTAGGATTTCTTAAGCAAATCCACTGGGCTTTCAACATGAAGCCAGAAAATCGGGACTTTTTAAAAACGCCTCAGGACACGGGACAAATTGTTATAAATCGTGACTGTCCCACTGAAATCGGGACGTCTGGTCACCTTACACAAACATTAATTCTCATGAAGTCTGCTGCTCCAGTGTTGGAAGATCTTCGTGCAGATGTTAGGATGGTATATTGACATATAAGTACAAGCATTTGCATAAGTCTCAGAGGCTTTTATTGACAATTACACTAAGTTTATGCAAAGAGTCAATATTTGTAGTGTTGATCCTTCTTATTCAAAATCTCTCCAATTCGCCCTGGTTTCTGGGCCACACCCTGACTGATGGCAGTCCATTCTTGCATAATCAAAGTTTGGAGTTTGTCAGAATTTGTGGGCTTTTGTTTGTTTGCCCGCCTCTTGAGGATTGATCACAAGTTCTCAATGGGATGAAGGTCTGGGGAATTTCCAGGCCATGGACCCAAAATCTCAGTGTTTTTGTCCCCAAAAGTACTTTTGCCTTGTTGAAAGAAATGTCCTTCTGGGTTCAGCTCCAAGTGGGGAAAAAGACACTGGACCCATGGAGGCTGCTTGGAAATATGGTTTAATGGTGGACAAGACCACATGGCTTGAGTCCTGAATAGAAAAGGTGATCACATGCTTCAAAATTGGGTGGAGAAGAAGAGAGAGCGAAAAAGGGGCTTGCAAGGTTTTTTATAATCTGTTTGCCCCCACCTATCTGTTTCCTGTTCCCGTGTAAGCAATGTATTCTGATTGGTTGTCAGACTCCCATAGGACAATGCAGGGGCAACTCTCTAGGCTGTGTTTTGAATCCAGGTTTGGTCGAGTTCTCGATGCCATGTGGTGAGTGGGTAAAGGCTAATCATGTCTTAATCCCATCCTCCTGGAACTGAAGGGGAGAACTCTTTATTATGTAAAGGGGCTGGCTTGTGCATCTTAATGGCCCATTGACAAAGGGCGTGGGCAGGAAGCTGCAAGGAGCTATTCTCTCTTTAAAACATGTTTCTTCCTTTTCATATCCAGGGAAATATTATATTCTGCCTTTTCAATATTTCCTAAGATATTTCATTTTTCTAGGAGAGGGATGGGTTTTAACTTCCTACAGCCTTATGGCAAGACACTCCATCATGCTGGAAAAGGCATTGCTCATCACCAAATGGTTCTTGGATGTTTGGGAGAAGGTGCTCTTGGAGGAAGTTTTTGTACCATTAATGGATGTGTTCCAGAGGTGAGTTGCTGCCAGTTTGGCCCAGATTGGCCGAACTGGTAGTAGTGGTGGTGGGAGGCTCTGCCCACTCACCCAGACGTGTTGCATGCGAGCAAGCGAGCACACGCAGGAGCGCACCCAAACCGGTATTAGAAAGATTAGCAACCCACCTCTGCTGTTCCTAGGCAAAATTGTGAGTGAGCCCATTCCCTTGGCTGAGAAGCAACCCCAAACATGAATGGTCTCAGGATGCTTCACTGTTTGGCATGACAAAGGGCTGATAGTGGCATTCACCTTTTCTTCTACAGACAATCAGACCCAAACAATCAGAAATTTTCATCAGAGAAAATGACTTTACCCGAGTCCTGTTGTGGCAGGGTTGAAATACAGTGGAAATGTTTTTGGGGGATTAAGTTCATTTTCATGGCACAGAGGGACTTTGCTATTAATTGCAAATTGATTTGATTACTCTTCATAACATCCTGGAGTATATGCACATTGCCATCTTCCACACTGGAGCAGCAATTTTTGTGTCATTCTCAAAACTTTTGGCCAGGAGTATACTTGAGGCGTGGGGCAGAGGCACATAATAAGAGAAGATTGCAGCATCAGTGTAAAAATTAACAGGCTGTTTTTTTACACGTCTCCAGGTGGTGGTGGTGGTGGAGAGGTTTGTCAAATTCAATGGCATGAGATTCATCATTAAAAACACTTAAGCTTATCAAAAGCAGGACCTAGTTGCAAAAGCAGAAGGGTACAATGTATTTATTAGTTGCTCTCGCTCCCACGCCCAGCAGCTTATTGGTATAATTGTGCAATTGTACTTGGGTTAGAGTTGAATGAGACGGAACAACTGCTTGGAAAGGAGCGTGTAATCTTGCTCAAGAGGAAAACAACAGAGAAGCGATTAAGTAAATAATCAGCAGAGCATGGAAACGGGAATTAACTTGCCCTAAAGCACGGGTGTCAAACCTGCTGCATCGGGTTGCTGTCACGTGACATTTTTCCCATTCATGAGGTGGGGTGGGCAAGAGCTGCACATGACACATCTGGCTCACGGGCTGCCAGTTTAACACCCCTGCCCTAGAGTGCACAGTTTCAGTCTCACCATTGTATATAAAAAGAGAACAAAGCACACTCCCTTCTAGCATTGAAGATATTATTTGGTTGGGTAATGTTGGATAATGTCTGCAAAAAACCAACAACCTCAGAGAGCACCAAGTTCAGAGAGCACCAAGGATATTTCAATCCTAAGCTACCAATAATCTCTTCTATATATTATTGCATTTTACATTTGTTACATTTTAATATTTTAAAAACTCTGTTTGATCATAATTGGTTTCCTTTGTATTTATATCTAGATGATTTATGCATTTAAATATAATTTTCCAAGAGCCATAAATTTCACCAAAATGAAATGTCAAAAAGATCTATGGAAGAAAAAAGGGTTAAGAACCATTGCCCTAAATAATTGCCTGGGAACACCCTTTTAAACTGCCCAGAAAAATGAGGAAGGTGAGATATGAGAGGAAAATATAAGAGATTGGCATCTCGTCGATGGCCTTTTTGTTTTCAAAACAATTATGGCAATATTAAACATCAAAAGTAACAAGGGAGAAAAGATGCTTAGAGGGAGATATGCTTCTAGATTTTCAGTTTTAACAAGTTTGTACAGCCATTTGGAAGGTTTACTGTGTAATTTTATGTAAACACTGTAAAGTAAAGGTAAATTCCTACTGTCATTTCTAAAGGGAAAAACAGAGCATTAGTGATTTCAAGCATCCTGAAATAAGTTGATCTGATTAAATTAAAAGTTATACTTTATTATTACCCTCATCATTAAATTTTCATCATTAGAAACTATAATTAGCTTTTTTAAAAATTACCTTGATTTTATGTCAAAGTCGCTTACAATTTTCACTTGTGTTTGAAAAAGAACAGAAATAGCTGCTCAAATTTTGCTTTACAGAAAAAGGGAAGTAAGTACCCATCTCAACATCAAGTACCCATCTCAATCTGCACCTGTCTTTTGCACCTGTCTTTCTCAGTACTCTTTTCAAATTTGGATACTGTCCCCTTTGTAAACAAATTACTAGTCTACATAGATAGATTACCTATCTAGAATCTCTAATCTGTGCTCTCCAAGCAGAAATTAAGTGTCCAATTTGGCCTCTATGGAGATGCCACGCTATCAGCTGGCATCAACTGCAAAGATCCTGCAGGGGAAGAGCAGTCTGGACAACCGTGGGATCTGGCAGAGAGAGAGAGTTGTGAACCATAAACACAAAGATTTTGCTGTGACCAGCATAACAGATATAGCGCCCTTGCTGACAATGAGACAGGTCAAGGTAGTTGTGATAATGATGACCCAAATAAGCAGGTAATCATGGTCCAAAATGAAGAACTTTCTTCGGAAAGGCAAAATGGGGAACTAGGTATCACACATCAGTCACACTAGAAGAGCAAGGTATGCAAAAAGAGAAGTCGCCTTCTGGTTGGTGATTCAATGGTAAGGGATGTAAATTTAGGAAAGGATATGGAGGTTTTAAAAGAGGTCAGGTGTCTGCCAGGTGCTACTGCCAGCAGAGACAAGGAGTATTCTTAAGATAATCAAGAATG